CACTTAGGGCCTACCCTGGGGGTTTTTATGTTTGGCGGTTGAGTTTTAGCTAGGGAACCACGCAATTTGATCGGACGGTAGGACTGGTGAATACCAGTGTATAATTCAAAATGGCGCGAGGTTAGTCGTAACTGTTACTATAAATATGGAAAGAAATGGACTCAGCAGACCATAAATTCATGTTTATTCATCACAAGCCTATTTGACTAGCAATTAAAGACTCAAGTAAGTAAATAGCGTGTTATTTTGTCCATGAACAAGAATTTCTCACGACTCGAAACAAGGAGTCTCCTAAAGCCCGTGGATCGATATTGTTTGACGACGTAAATCAGTTCCGCTCCAGCAGATTTCGTCGGGTACAGTTGTGTTATATTTTCTTGTCTCATTTCAGTTTYAGTTTTTTTGCTATTTTCCTGTCAATCATTTTAATATTATATTAGCCTGCGTATATCACACTTGACCACACAGCGTTTCCTACTTTGCAAAAAATGCAAAAATGAAATTGCGCAGACGAGCACCGTGGTAGCTGTTAAATGACGCCGTCGTCATGAGCGATATACGATGATACAATACCTTGTGTTCGTTTACATATATAACTCTTTGAATGCGAGCATCCATCATCATTCCAAAAGCCATTAATCATTTCGACGCAATCTTCCGAATTCCTAAAGTCATTGGGTTCCCCTCGTCCCCAATTAGTGTATTTTGTAGCTGAAAAGCCATCTGTCCACTTGAAAACGCCTTCTTTGGCACGGTCATTGTAGCCAATCCAAAACCGTTCGTTGGTGAATTTACTAGTTTGGTTGTACAAATACGTATTTTCGGCTTGGTCACCTATACTAGCCAAATGACCACCGTAGGTTTGACAGAAAATCTCAGCTTCCTCCCATGACTTTCCTTTCACTGTAAGACTGCGAGCAACGAACTTGTAGCAGTTGTTATTGTAGCTTTTCCAATCCCGACATACTTGAGCTGATACTATTGAAAAATGAAATAAAAATAACATAATAGAATCTAGTTTATTAGTACTATTGAGGACTATGCTTGCTCTATTAAAAACAGTAACAATTTATTCATTTATATAGTAGTTCCTAAAATAATAATAAAAACAAGAAATTCGATAATAAAATAAGAAAAAAACAAACAATAATAATAATAGTTACAAGAAAAGTTAGGACTAGCAATGAGAGACATCAACACAAGCGCTACCGTGTCAGCGGTAATAAAGAAGAAAAGAAAGGAGGGAAAAATAATCACGCCAGTTCAAAAGTTCCAAGCAATAATTCAGATAAAGCTAGATATGACATTCTTTGATGTCCATTTTCACATGCTGTACAAACACAGTCAGTGCTTTATGTGAAGTAAGTCGGTCTAGTCGTAGGCGACCCGATTTTATTTTATTAAAAACAGTCTGCGAGGGAAGCATTGCATCACCGGAAACGGACACAGGCACCCCAACCGTATTTTCTGATATGTCAATAAAGTTTCACATATTACAACTATATAATGCTGTTTTCCTTTCTTACATTTATAAGTTTGTAACTTACACATTGAAATCCATATAATTTTTGATAACTTTATAATTTAATAATTAAATACTGTCTGATGAGTGCGTAGCACGAAACTTGGAGTACAGCAAAATCTTGCCTCTTTGATATCATATATATAACTAGCTCTACACTTTTTGTGTATTGAGCACTCTTTAATGGGATCAGCTACTTCCTCATACGATTAATTTAATAATTATAATTATTAGTGCGAAATTCGTGGCTTCTAGAATATGGTTTGCGACAGCAAAACTTACAAAATACGTAAGTTGTAATGGATTTATTTTGTGGGTTATTTTATGTTAGTGGAGGCCGAGGGGRRTTGGAGCTGGGTTAAAGTATWTAAACACGAAATAAGCGTTTACGTATCAATRGAGAGTARMTTTTTGAAATACAAAACTTYCACGAAATGTATGAGCATGGGCTGCCTGTAAGCCCTAAACCCAACGTCACGAACGGGAAGTCKGATTTCGGWCCWGTCACGCTCATCAGGWATGCATGAAGTGCATCGAGGCTCGAACCATTTACCCAAACTTGGTGAAACTATAACCATATAGCTGWAACGATTATTTAGACGGACGTTTATGAATGACAACGTCAACAATTAAGATTTTGATTATTACTTTTTGATAATAGATTAATAATAGTGTAATACATGCAAACATGTATCTTTATTATATTCTTACAGTCCTTACGATTGTAATTACAGTTTTTAAAAAGGCATTTATGGAAAAAAATACGTTTTAAATTTAATGAATGAAAAGAATATGTAATCTGTTGCGTGACCTTTTTACAATCAGACATTGGGGTCAAACACGTTATTCATTTGCGGGCATATTATGCTTGCTTCATTTTTTTAATGCTGATTGACTATTAATATTTTTTTCTAAACTCAAAAGAGAGAGCACTGCAAATTCGATTCCATATAATACCTCGATATACGTATATAGATAGKGTAACTAGATTGATCGATTGATTGTTTCTTGTGTGTACAGTGAGTACCAGGCGCACATAGCACCATATGGCAATTACCGTTTGATTTGTCAAGCCCTCTTTCCTTGAACTGAATTTAAATATAAAGTTGATATATAAACATATTAAATGAAATCTAGGTTAACCATATTTGAAAAATACAAAAGAATGAGATTGATTTAGAGAAAGGTTTGCAAAACCCACGTTTATCATGCACGATAACAAGCTATATAAGAGATTAAAAATTGACAGAGATCGATCATGCAATCTTGTTATAACCAGTGATTCGTGGTTATTTTAACGGTCTGGACATCATTTCAGTGAGCRCTACTACATAGATGTGTTTAAAGTAAACAGCCGATTGTCTTTTCTCTAGAAGTCCTCAAACATGAACAAGCAAACTAATGCCGTCTCTAAATGAGGACCAACCATTGGTCCAGCGGTGATGATCTAAGTATCTAACATCACTTACCTTGATAAGTATTAATAAGAAGAACTGCAGAGCATAAAAACAGCAAATGCATGGCTACAGACATGCAAGGARCTAAAAATCAGCCTACCGAAGGACGTACTGTCACAAATTGCACGGCATTGCCTTGTTGACCTCTGCAGCTTAAATTACTGATGCTCTTACAACAGTACATTAGAGCGCTAACACGGGCTACTTCACAAGTCTTGCATAAATAACAGACTCTTGTAAAAGTAATCACCATTAATTGCCTCCCAATTSGATGWTTCGCYTATTTTKTCTGTTTTCATTTTCTTTGCTGYTCTTTTCCTTTTTTCTGTGATGTTGTTGTTAATGCTTTTKATTTATTTATTTTTTTAGGGGAAGTGGCATGCTTCCTCTTAATTGAGATTACTACCATTCCGTCCTTTTAGAATTATCTGAAATAATAAGATTGAATGATAAATTGCATAATGTTCCGCTTAATTCTAAGATCTTTACTTTTCTTGTAATATCTATTTATCATTATTTTTGTTTTTCTTCGATTATTTTTATATTTTTATTGATTTTTTTCATTTTTTCCATTTATTTTTTTTTCGGTTTGTTATTTTTAGTATCGCTTTGATTATTATTATTGTCAGGAGAGCGCTTGATTGCATTTTCCCCCTCCTTTTTCTTCTTCTTTTTATAAGAAAATATAACTGAAACACGCAGGCAAAACCAAAAAAATCAAATGGAGAAACTGGTCAACGATGCATGGCCAGAAATTCCGGACATTTGAGCCCGGAACGAATCAGCTGGTTTTCCCACCAAAATAGAGCTTTCTACAAGTTCCCTTGAGGTTTGAACTTTTGAAGATCAAATTTTCTACTCTTGTGCAACGATCCTTTATCTTAATACAATACTGGACTAAAATCGAAACGTTCAAAACATCGACAAACGAGTATTGGGATAGCACGCTCTGATCCTTGAGTTCATTAGCTGGCTTGTAAGGTGGTCGTTTGGAATGTTCATAGTGTAAATAATATTGTTTGCTGGAGCACACGTTTCCCTCAGGTATTTTAAACAATGATCATCAGTTGATATTGTGATCTTTTGTTTATACTTGTACATTTGTAAGGAATTTAAAAGGTCTGACATTGTTTACACTAAATAGCGTAGACTTGATCTTTCGTTCGTATTTCCCGCTATTTACCACTGCGCGCAAGGCGCCACTGAAAAACCGCCAAAATTAAAGTAGTCCTAGTCTGAAAGCCACGTTTCTAAGGTTTATTTTGGTACCAAACATGGCGTATAAAATGAAAAGAAAATGGAAGATCGAGGCCAATTATTCGCGTGAAACACGCGTCTTCGCCAGCCATTTCGACCTAATCATTGACAAGTTTGAAAAACAAAATATTTTGAAGCTAGCAATTTTAATTAAAATTCATCATACAGTGAGTGGTCTGTACTAGCTCTCAATTTATGCTATTAACTTATCCCTAGCTTGATACGCTGCCTGGTCGTGACTTTATACTTGTTAAATATTCTCATACTATATTTGGAAATTTTGCCGTCCCTCCCCTCCCCCAAGGAAATTATAGGTARCATCTCAATGCTTCGGCTGTGTGATGGTGCTGGATGTGTTGGGAGGTACAGAGCTGCCGTGTAAACATTGTGCTCCTTTTTATACTCGCTTTGACCTGCTACCTGACACTGGAAAAAAAATCGCGCACTTTAAAGGTTGTAGATTTGATGTAAATATGATGTAAGTGTCCAAAATGGTGTAAATTTGATGTAAATCATTTACAATAAATCTTTATATCATATTTACATCAAATTTACAACCTTTAAAGTGCGCAGTTTTTTCCAGTGAAAACACAACGTTTGCCCAAGATCATCCACTGGTGATGAGTTTCAGCTAGTAGTTTTTAAAATAGTGACTTGACGGAAATTTCCTATGGCATGCTTTGTAGATTGTGTACAAAAAACGTCGCGAGGCTCCCCAAAGATTATCCTATTTTCTACAACTATTCACTCTCAAAATTTCTAACTTAAAGGCATTTTTCTTTTTTGTTCTTCATTACCAATTGAAGAAGAGTTTCAACTCAGCAAAGGACAGCATCCTTGAAATAAAAGCTCATATCCTTAGAGCTGTTAATCAGGAGGAAGCAAAGCAAGATGTAATTCGAAATATGGAAGCAGGAAAAGAAGCCTTAGTTGTAATGGATTGGGCCATGAAATACCAACAGCGGAAAGTCAGAGAGAAACAATCGGAATGGTTTGGCAAAAGAGGGCTAAGCTGGCATATTTCAAGTGTTATAACTAAGAAAAAAATCAGCAATGAAATCGAGGTAACATCGTACGCTCATCTCCTTGACACATGTGATCAAAAATGGTATTCAGTTCTGTCAGTTATCGAAAACCTCTTAGWACATTTAAAGGCATGCAATCCTTTGCTTTGCAAAGTGTATCTTCGTTCAGACGAGGCAGGGTGCTACCAAAATGATAATTTGGTAGCAGCTATGAGTGATCGGACATAGAAAAAYGTGTTGGAGTTAGTGTTTCTCAATTTGACCATTCTGAACCACAACACGGAAAGGACATATGCGACCGTATATTATGCCCAATGAAAGCTGCTATCAAGACTTACTCTAATGAAGGTCACGACATMCTTTGYGCTGACGATATGCGCACTGCTTTGAAAGAACGACCAGTGAAAGGCAGCACTRCTGCAGTTTGCACGATTAATTAAGCCACTTCCTGTGTTCAAGTAAAGAAGTTAAAAGGTTTTAGTAAATACCATAACTTTAAGTACGAGAAAGATGGAATACGAGTTTGGAGATCATATGGAATAGGAGACGGAAAGTTGATTCCCCACAAATCGTTTATTTTAGACATCAGGAAATTACAGATCTAAAGGTCAGCAAACGCTTTTTTCAGAATCGAAAAAGTAAGAGTTCTATAATCCAAAAAAGAGAAATCATCGGAGGAGCAAGAGGTACGTTTTGTTCTCTTGTACCATGTCTGGTTGTACAGAGACCTTCAATTCCATTTTTTGACCTGGAATTGCATTTAGACTTGAACATGCGAAAGGGAGTGGATCAAGCGTGTATGATAAGATACRGAAAGAATGAGTCAGTTCAGATGACAACCTAATCTCACCCAAAATACTCAGAAAAAGACAATATCAAGTCGATATCTTCAAAAATACCAGTAACTGTAAACTGAGGATGGGTTCTTAAAACCAAGGGTAGATCTCCTCAATATTCTCCAAATGTAAGGGAATTTATAATAGCTAAGTTTAAGCTTGGGGAACAAACGGGAAAGAAGTGTGACTCACAACAAGGTTCAAAGGAGATGAGGACATCTAAAAACGAAAACAACCATGAGACTTTTCAAAAGAGAAGAGTGGCTAACGCCAACCCAATTGCAGAGTTTTTTTCTCTCGGATGTCACGCAAACGTGTATTACAAACAAAATCAACAGGAGAGATAAAGAAGAACATGCATGACGAGGATGACGAAGATGATGATGATGACGATGGGAAAGAACTAGAACGTCTGCTGGAGCAAGAACGAGACCAAGAATAATGTGATATAATCCAGGAAGTCGGTTTATGCCATCCAATTGTTTTCAATGGTTACAACATTTGTACATCACACAAAAAAGCAACGTTGCCAAATAAGCGTCATTCTGAAACAGGTGTGCTATTAGTATGCACTATCACTTTTTTTTTYSTTTTTTTTTAACATTTTCTCACATAAACATGCTCTTCTKTTTTTATTGTCTTCATATTATTTTTTACATTTTGTAATCTGAACTAGTATCTATAATGGGATCGCCCTGAAAAGTCTTAACTAATTGCGACGCCCGCTTACTACTCATGTGTAAATTGTTATTTAATTGAGCTAAACTTGAACTTGAACTTTTAAAAGACCGTGTTTACATGAGATAGTGTGCCCCTTACGTATTAGGGCTAAAACAAAGGGGTAACCACTATATCTCATGTAAAGAGGTCTACCTGTGGAACAATTTAACAATACATATTATATAAAAGGGAAATCGAATATWAAGGAAACAATAACTCGTTGTAACTGTTCCATTTTCCCGCGCCTCTGTGCCATACTCGACAAATGACAACTGAGACTCAWCACAAAAACATGTCTAACAAATAGGCAAAATATGATCATTATTTCAGTTTTGATATGCGTTATAGTTTTCAAAAGACAACTCCATGTGTGATATGACTGTCGTTCTTCTATCGGTTAAACCGATGTTTGAAACAGCACATAAAAAGTAAAACACTATTATTTGGAATGTACACCTAATTCAAAAAACGCGTTTGTCGTCGTCAGGACACAGTCCACATTWTTAAGCTTGCAAATAATCTCGGGATTGTCATATATCAGTATATAATCATCTTCAGTTATTCAAAATGCTCAGTCTTGTAGCGAATACATTTGAATCTCATTGACGGTTTATAAGAYGTGGAACATTTATATTAGTAGTTTGATTCGTCCAACACCGACTTTGGTGAGTTTTATAAAACTCATTAATATTCATAAGGCAAAACACAATAGAAATCATAGCCCATGAAGAGAGTTGTATATTACATACAGATTTCTTGTTCATTTGCATAAACTTTAACTCTGATTTTCTCGGTCAGATTGATTTTTTTTTCAAGAGTTTCTTTAAAACCTGAGCTAGTTTACCTCAACGTTTCATAAGTAATATACAATATTCGCGCGCGATCTGTATGAGGTTTAAAACAGCTYGCTTTCAGCTCGCTGTTTTAAATCCGCATACAGATCGCCCGCTCATATTGTATATATTACATACAGGTGAGCTTAAAAATAGAATCGACAGTGTTTAAATATTCTGTCCAGTGATTTTGCATTTTTTCATAAACATTCTTTGAATAAACGTGTTCTTCCAATGTTCCAGGCACTGCACATCTATAGGTATTGTTCACAAGCCAATCTCCTTCTCTTCGTCGTAGGCTTTTCCATTATTTCTTGGAGCAGAGGCTTTATTTATTGTGTAGTTCTTAATTTCTCGACGTTTTTTGAAGCAAAAGACAATAATAAAATCGATGAACTCAAACACAGTGAGCACACTGCAACCCAGGAACAATCCAACGTAACCACCAACATCCGCTGAAACACGAAAAAAAAATGTTTGCTTTCCAAGGTATTAACATAAAGTTGTATGGTTAAAAATGGTGCTTACGCTTAGCTCTGAATAAAATCAGTGTAACTGCTAAACTACTGCAATAAAAAGATTTCTACTTTACAGCAACATAGTAAGTTTTAGCGAAAGGGAGTGGGGGACGATCGCCGATTTCTGGATAACGGCGTGGTGGCAGAAATGTTTGAAATTTTGCGAATACATTTTATACAGTGAATCTTTGAAGATATCCAAAGGTATTGGTGTAGGGGATAGTTGAGCTTATTCGCATTCTCCAAGTGGAGCAAATCAATGGACTTAATACGAATACAAATTTTGAAATATTTGACTGCACAAAGCTGCAATAGTCATTCTGAGACCTTGTCCATACGATGCTACCATCATTATTATGGCGATACTACTACCAGCAATGTATTGTGTTCTTGGAATTGCATTATCACGTGTTAGTGCTCAATATTTTCAGATAGGAGAGCTGTATATGAAGTGATTAGAGGTTGCCGTACTAATCAAATTGAACGATCCAGTGCGCACAAGCAAAATTGGAAAGATTTATGGAACTRGTCGGATTATGATCTTATTTGCGGGTTTGTTTTCGGTCCGGTATCCTAGTCCTTCGCCCACTAGGTAATTCAATGATTGGTTCAATGATTGCCTAGCGCGGTCCGGTATATTTCACGATCTGCCTGGTCCACGGTATCTTGTAGCTAGCGGTTGCGAGCAAAGTTGCATAAAATACAATAAAAAAAGTAAAAATGTTATTCACCACCGGCAATAGGTTGGCGCGTATACGAAAACACGTCACTGGCCGAGGTCTTGACAGTACGTACATTAAAAGACCGATGGCAGTACTAGTATTTTCCTATACGGGCCTCTCAGCCGGTAAATAATTTATGATCTGCTCTTTACTCGAGAAAGGCTTGTTTCGATTAGTAGACTCGTACTGTGCAAGAAAGGCACACACACTCCCCGTGATTTTGCTGTCTGAGAAAATAGTTAGAGTCTACGATGAGAGCGGATCGTTTGTATGGGATGCTAGGACGCCTTGGAAAGAGTGGTCGGGTAATGATGCATTGAATACCTCCAAACATGTTGATATCGTAGGAAGGTCTCTCTGTCGTCACGTAAGTGTTGAGATCCTTATAATGAACCGACAGATGAAGAAGGTACTTACTAGAAAAAACACAATATTCCAATTTAACCAAAAAATACCATTCAACAAAATGAAAAGTACGAAATCAACAAGCATCAACAACAGGCTAGGCAAAKAGTATTCAACCCCTTGCACTACTACTATATACCCGTCAATATTAAAAAAAWWWTTTTTTAAAAAAGTCGCTCTTAGAGCGCATGTGGTTACTCCGAAATTGGACTGGTATGAAAGATAAATTAGAATATCTGGGATTATTGCTGTACACTGTCAAAAATTGTACGTCTTTTGATACAAAGTGAGGACTACATCTGTAGACAAGAAGTTTACATCAACATTTTAAGTCTTTGGATTCTAGTGAAGAATACATGTGTAMATTTGTATGAGTATTCCCAAATAAATAGTTGTAAAGTTTGGCTCAAATATGCATTTTCGTGGCTTAATATTCCCGTAATATGACACATTTGGTTGATATTCTCTTAATAAGAGGCTGATTTGTCCCACAATGGGGTTTATTCAGTTTATATGTGGGTTTGCATTTGGTACATTTTTGTTGACAATTGGTTTCTTGGTTGTTGGTTGTTTGGGCCAAAGTGCAGAATATAGTGTTTACATCCGCTTTCGCTCTTAACCATGACCATCGAGCGTGAATTTATCCTGTGACAATTCAATGCAATAAAGATAGGCCTAAAATCTCAAAAATGCTCAAAAAGGCTTTTATTAYATTACAGTCGGTACTGCCCAATGAATGCTGTGATAGATAAAGTGCAAGAAAGAATAGGAATAAACACAGCTTACTTACAAATCGAACCGATGCACAATACAATTAACATCCAATTCGAAGCACATGGAAAACTTCCCTAGGAGACAACCAGCGTTTCTTTGGCCAGCGTCATCAGGTAGATGTCATTGGAAAGTGTCACGTGATAGCGTTACATACTAACTTGATTACAATATGATAACAAAGTAGTAACCCGTCTTATGATGGAGTAACCACAAAAATCGTGAGTCTTTTTTTGGTAACATAAAGAATTGTGAATGAATCGATATAAATTTCCTTGATTGCTGAAGTTTTTACCTTGCCTCTGCTAAAATTTTGTTTACTTCCTTCCTTRCATTGTGTATAACGCTGGTGTTAACCGTCACATTAGATCGTTGAGCAATCATCAATAATAATAGATCAACTAAGTCATCAGAAGAATCTCTCACAAAAGACTCCGAGATAAAGTTGGTGATGTCGACCCGCGTTGGGTACTTTATTTCTTTGCAGGGTGTTGGACAGCCACATTCAACAGGATTGACTGAATGCAGAAAACCTGTGAACGATATAAACTGGACGTAATTAATCGAAAATCACACAATCGAACGTTAATATCTGTGCGATTGATTGACAATTGGTTTTGGAATTGAACAACAAAGAAGTGTTTATAGCAGGTAAACAACCAGTTGCTTAACAACCTTTTTGTTATTTTCTTCACCAAGTTAATTCTCCAAGCTCGTCTTCAGTTTCTGAAGCTGAAATGGAACTATCTATTCCTAACAATAAGTCACATGGTCTGTACTCTTGTGCAACAAAATTACTAAAATATGCCAGTAGTTCAATTAAGGATATATTAGCCGAAATTATCAATTTATCTATACAACTTGGGACATATCCAACAAAGCTAAAAACATCCACAATTATAACAGTCTATACGTAAGAACTTTTACATTAGACATTCAAGAATTAATGCTTTGAAAAATTATTTTTCACGCATTTTGGCGCTAGAGTATGTAATGAGATACCTCTAATTCTTAAGGAGTTACCTAAAAAAGTATTCAAAAAGAAATTTCATGAAATACTTTTAAAACTTCTTCACAAAGAAGATTYATACCTTAGCATAACCTCCATTTTRGATAAACTCAAATCTATGAATTGAACTATTGTGTAGCCTTTTTCTTGAACACTTTATATCWTAGARTTCAATATATTTATCACCCTTTTCTTTTCCTTATCTTAGAATATACTCTTCTTTGTAATTTCTGTTAAATTTACCTTTCTCATTTTGATCTTAATTGTTCGTTATGTTAGACAAGTAGTGTTATTGTAAATAATTGACATTTATTTATTTATTTATTTATTTATTTATTTATTTATTTATTTATTTATTTATTTATTTATTTATTTATTTATT